TATAGATTTTTGTCACAAACTTAATCTAATTTATATTTTACTAGCTATTGCTCGCAACTATGCATGAAATTAAATTAAAATAATGAAAATGTGAAATATGCAACATAATTCTCATTTTTGTTTCCTAATTTTTTTTGATATCACCATGTAATTAAGCATCAGTTTAAAAAAAAAATTATGAATAGTAGACTACTTACTGTATAATCAAAGACTTGTATCTGATGATTGCTGGTACCACAGTAGACCTTGCCGTCTTCATACAGAAGGGTGTAGACTGTCATCTTGGGGCCTTCAAGTGTTCTCAACAAAAGTCCAGTTTGTGCATCTTTTATTGTAACATTCTCAGCCCTTGATGCTACTAGAAGTACCTTACGAGGTCCTTCTTTCATCGCTCGTAGAGCCAGTATAGATTGGTCAGAGAATTTTACTGTACTAACCGGTATCAGCATGTTATTCTGTAAAAAATATTTAATGAGGCATCAAAAATCTATGTTTCTAAGTAACATTGTTGTAAGATGCAGATTGATTAAAAATGTCCTTTAACTCACCTTACACTCAAATTGCAAAACGAATCCAGTCCTAGTTCCCACAAAGACGGTGTCCCAAGCTCGGTCCATTGTCTGTATCGGACTAAGAACATTACATTCAGGTCCCTTTTCAATTCCTGTCTGCAATATTAAAAAAATAACATTATAAAGTACAACACAAATTTGAAGATAAGCAAGGCCATATATGGAAATAAACAAGTTTCATATGGCATCATTACCAGCTTAGTATACATGCCCACTGTGGGGCTCTGAGTATATTTTAAAGTTGGGATGACTAGGCCATAGTCAACGCTGGTCTACTAGTCAACCAACCCATAATGTAAAGTGGGGAATAAACTTGGTAGTTTATCGACACCAGTAAAATTTTAAATGTGGTCTATGACAAAAAATTGATTTTTTTAATAGGGAGTTTTAAAGTAAAAAAATATAACATAATTACCTCCAGGTCATAGTAACGTATTCTAGAGTCTAAAGAGCCTGTATAAATTGTAGTTTCATATTTATCCTTAACAATTGTTAGACAAGTAACAGCTAAGTTTGATCCCTTCAATGTATTAATAAGTTGACCATCACCACTGAAGTAATACACATTTCCATCCAAACACGCTGCCACGAAATTATTGTCTATACACTGGAAATAAAAAAAAATCACAACAATGTTTACAGATTCTAAATTTTTTTTTCATTAAAAAACAAGTATCAACAAGTAACATAGTACTAACACATTTTTTTTTATTTATCTGTATTGATAATGGTGAAGAAAAAGTTGCACTCACTTCAATAGCAAGAACAGCATCAGCTTGCCCCGTGACATTTATTGAGTCACGACGTAAATTTTCGTCAGCTGCGAAATCAAACGTTTTGCATTCATTCTCCCCACTCTGCGTTGGTATTAATGAATCTTCACTTGACTGACTGTCACCTAGTATGACTTCTTCGCTTATCGAAACCTCTGCTATCTCTAACTCTTTATCTTGTGCTGATTTCTCTTCGTAATTATTATCAATGATTATATCTTCTGATACATCTAGCATGTCAAGTTGAATATCAGAATTTTCTTTATCTGGAATTTCTACAGCTTCAACAAAACTCGCACATTCTAATGACTCATACTGCATTACTTCTTCCTCGGAAGATTTCGTGTTATATTCTGCCAAGAGCTTATCCAAATCTTCCTTAACTAATACTACAGAGCAATCCCTAATTTCAATTATATTAAGATCATTTAAATTTATAGGTTCACTTGGTGTTTTAATAATCTTTTTCTTTGTTCTTTGTACCCTTTGTGATTTCCTCCTTGTTTTCATAGGTTTCTCGAAATCGTCTAATGTTATTATTTCTTCAAGTGGTCGATCATCCTTGAGAATCTGTTCTATAAGGGAAATATTTGGTGATTTGTCTTTTTTGACTTTCTTTGTCAACCTTGGTCCGATGGATTTTTTTCTTTCTTGCAATGACATTTGTCGACGAGTGAGTTTTCTACCTTTTGATGGCTCAATACTGTTATCACTATCGTTAATTGCTTCACTATGTGGTTCACTGTGTACTTCATTTGCATTTTCATTCGCTAATACTACCAGATCACTAATGGGTATATCTACAACTTCCTCTATAACTTCAGGAAAATCTAGACAATCTTTCTCAACTTCTTCGTCTTTACTTTCCTCCTCAATTTCAGGCATGTTTAAAAGAGCTATTCCTAATGATTGTATGGAGTCTTCACTTGGTTCATTTATTCCTAATGATCTATACAATTTTAATTTCTCTTCTACTAAATTCTGGATTTGTAAATCTATTTCCTTCATTCTCGCTAAAGGATTTAATGATTGAACAGGCTCTGTTGCTATGTGCGCAGGATCCATTTGGTGTTTTTCCACTATTATGGTGTCCTCAGACTGGGAACATCTAGTACAAATTACATCTAGAGTTGTTTGTGTATTTTTCGACACTAGTTCAGTATGAACTTGAGTTGTGGCGTCACGCTGTAATATTTTACGAGTCGCGTCCTTTTTTTTACGGTCATCTTTTTCACTACTGGATGCATGTTTTATACTCGGTACCACCGCAGTGTTTCGATGAGCCTGATGAATAATTACTTTCTTTGGTTTTTGTATAAACATATCTATAGTTTTAAGCGTATTTTTGGGATCCGTTTTAGGCGGACTATTGGTAACCGTATTATTAGGGACAGCTAAACTGGAATGACTTGATGGTGTAGGTGTATTCTTTTTTCTGGATTCACTAGTATGTTTTTCAGATTTATTTCTATTTTTCCGTCTAACATACTTATTCGAATATCCTTTTTCACTAACTTTTACTCTGTCACCTTTATTTGACAAAAATTTTGTTTTATGCGCTTTTTTTTCAGTTTGAATCTGTGGTTCAGCTCTTTTTGCAGGCACATTGGTGACATTTCTACTATCTTTTTTCCTCTTTTGGTCAGGGGGATCGTTTGTTTTTTTTCGTTTTTCTTTACGATGTGATGATTGTTGGTCAATGGGTCTTTTCCGTGAATTAGATGATCTTATTGATTTTGAAGTAGAACTGGTATGAGATGTCTTTGATTCTGTACTTACATTATTTTCACCGGGAACACAAATTTCATTGACGGTGAATGAATTCAAATAATCTGTCGAACTTACCGATTGTTTATCTGTATTTTGATTAATATTGGAGTTTATATTTTCTCTCTCACTAATGTCATTAACATTGTTTTTTACATTAAGTTTTAATGGTGATTTCGCAATGTTAAGAATTTGACTGTCAATTTCCTGCTTTACATTATCAGTTTTATTCTCTGTACCACAGGCAAAGCTGTTATCAAACATTGGTTGAGCCGAGCTGTCTCGTTGTGAGAGTTGTGAATTTGAAGTATCATCAGCAAGGAAATTGGGATCCACAGCAACATGATACTGATTGTCCAATTCAGCAAAGGGATCTTCATCTTCTGATAAACTTTTTGAGTTTGGGTCAAACAAAACTGGAACATCCTCAACTTTATATGTATCATTTGATTTATTGTCCAGACTATGTCTAGCAAATCGGACAGTTTCGGTCACCGGACCTCTATCCTCATTGTAAGAGCAACTTTTTGCTCTTTGTCTTGGTCCAAAATTAGGCTTATAAGATGTATTATTTCTTCTAACATCTAAATCATAGTTTTTGGAGATTTTATTCATTCTTTGCATTTCAGGTTCTTGGTAATGAGAATTTCCTTGATGTTCTATTGGTATATCTGAATATTCTTGTAAATAATTTTCGTAATTAGTTGAACTTGAGGGATACTCATCATAACCAAATTGTTCAGTATTAGTATGACTGGAACTTTCACTATCTATGTGTTGCTGTTCAAAATCATCTAAATTTAAAACTTTGGAAAGCTCAGCCATTACAAATGGTTTAATGTCCTCAAGAAATACTGTATCCTGGGGATCCAGGATACATTGCATTTGTTTCAAAAATGTATCCTCATAAATAGTGTTGTGGTCATCTTGTATGAATTCTGTACTAGTAGCACACAATGACTTTTCAGCGACTGATCGCAAATGACGATTGTAGCTATTTTGAGACTCTGTTATAAGACTGCTTATAGCATATTCAAATTTTGAAGAAGAATTTGGATTGTCCATTAACTTGTGTATTTTTTCTTTGTCCATTTTAAATAATTGATGGACTATTTTATTTTTTATTTTGTCACAATTTGATTTGTTCTTTTGTTTTTGTCTTTGGATCCTTCTTCGTATGGGTTGCTCTTGATGTACATCATAAAAATTACCAAAAGACTCTTCTGGATGAAAAGAATTGTTGTTAGAATTATCAATATTAACATTATCAGGCATATGTAGAGATTCATTTCTGTCTAATATTCTTTTTCTTATAATATTAACAGTATCATCTACTGTTCGGTTATAAGTTTTTGAATTTTCTATAATAGAGGTTGGATTACCTCCATAATGGTCGGATGAAGGTGGTCTGTGGCCTGGATAAGGCAACTTATTTACATCTTCAGTATACTTATACTGCCTACTTTGAACTCTTTCATCATAGTGATGTAGTTTATGTTCTGGGGGATGTGCCCACGGTGTAAATGAATGCTGTCTGTGGCCTAGACGACTGGTATTTGCACTTGGCTGCCTAAGATCAATATCTCCATGGCTATTTATATGACATGTATTACTTTGGTTACTGTTGTCATAAACATTGGAATCTTTATTCCTCTTCGTTGGACTAGTCAACTCACTATGTGAATAATGTTTTGGTTGTTGAAACACTTGCCTTTCGTTATGTGTATCATATGTTCTATTAACATTATTTCTGCTTATATATCTAGATTTGTTTCTATTACTTCCAGGAAAGTTATCAGTTATATGACTTAACCTTGATGCAAATTGAGGTGGTCTAAACCCTCTAGTAATTGGTGGCGAGAATCTGTAAGTACAAAGTAATTTACATTGTAAACAAAGCCAATATACCCACATGTTTTAATAATCTTAGTGGTACCATTATACATCAAATAATACTTAATATATTAGTTCACAAGAGGTTGCCAAGTTTCGCGGTAATATGTCAGTTCCCAAAAAAATGTTGTAAACTAATTTACATATAGAAAAAGTAAAATTATAATGTATTTTACCTGGGTACATCTACTGGTTGGTAGTCTCTAGGTCTAAATTGTTGATTCCCACCTCCTCGAGGCCTAAAATGTCTAGTGTTTTCATTTCGCCATCCACCGATCCCAGTATGACCTCGTCTCATGATTTCACTGTTACTGCATATTACACAATAATTAATTATGCTATTATCACTTTGAGAGCTATTTAATAATTCGTTTTAGGATAAAGTGAAAAATATAATCAAATAAACAAGTTTGATCAATGTCCCGCTGAATAAAAACACGACAGACAAAATAATGCGTTTAAATGACATTTCAGTCAGTGTTGCCCTCTAATCTTCTAATTTAATAATATGTTAAGAAGATCCATTTCACGATTTACCTATATAATCTGCAATTATTCTAACCCTAAAAAATGAGACTGTCTCTTATTTTTCATTTTTAATATTAAATTTTAACATGAAACTGTAATATTACATTAAATTTTTCTCTTGTTTTAAAGCCATCCCCAACCATACATCGTCATCATTTTAACGTTTTTATAGATATTTGTTTACTGCTGGCTTGCAGAGATAATCATGTTTATGTTGGGACAAAAGGATACCATATTTTGCAACTTCCTCAATATGGCTCGGAAATGGTGATTAACGTTTTCTAGCCTAACTGAACAACTTGTTACATCTTAGAATTTAGTATGCATGCAGACATTTTTTTCTTCTTTGCTCACGTTACAGTTGTGAGATTTTTTGACTTAAGTTTAAAATTTGAAAATAATTCAGACAAATGAAAGACTAATTTATTTGTAAAGGCATTTATTATAATGTACGAAACAGACAAAACAGTTTATGCATTTTTACTGCTACTATTTGAATAGCAATATCCTTAAATTCCATTCTAATGTTTATGGTTAATTCAAACTCCGGCCAGAATGGAGGTCGGGTCTTCGACGCCTGCCTTCACTTTGCGTAGGAACAGCACTGCCTCACGACCGTCAATCAATCTGTGGTCGTACGACAGGGCGAGGTACATCATCGGTCTTATCTTTATCTGAAATTGAATACAACGTACCAATACAGTGGAAAATGTAGACAATATATGTTAAAAAAAGGGAAGGGTTAAAATCTATGCGGAACGATTGGCATTAGCTGAGTTTTAATTTTGAACTTCCTAACATTGTCTTCACCAGGACTATAGAGTATCGAAAAATGTAAAATAGGTGTAAGAACTAGATTATCGGCTGACGTCTTTCAGTCTACAAAATGTTTAAGTCTTTCCAAATCATAACCTCGTTTGCATTCTAATATCAAATTATCCGAAAACATTTGTCGTGTAACATCTCTTTAATAAGTGTATGGTATACCTCGTTCTTGATCGCAACTGGTCTCTGTATAATGGCGTGCATTCCCAGGATGGCGGACTGCGGCAGGTTGATGATGGGCATAGACAGCAGGGAACCGAACACGCCGCCATTGCTGATGGTGAAAGTGCCGCCCTGCATGTCACTCGGACGCAGTTTACCTGTTCCACAGGAAGATATTTATAGTGCGACAAATTTATCTATCCGGTAAGACTTGCTTCTATAACGTTTATTTCTATTAGAAAAAATGTATGGTCAAGGACCTTTTTTATAACAGAAGGCTAATCATCGACGCCCTTGTTTTCGGACTTTGTAAAAGCACTCGGTTGTCGATTGCCAGTCATCAAGACGGTATGTATAGTAAGTACATGGAGGCGCGTCTCGTGTCATCCGATGATAAAACTCGTGTACACACGGAGACACTGACAGTAAGCTCTTATATGATATTGTAATTTAGTTTCATTTTTACTCACGAGTAATAATAGGTGTGATTGTAAATAATTCAGTATCTTACTTATTCATACTTTCATACTAATATTGTAAATGCGAAAATTTAGATGGATGGATGGATGTTTGTTAGAGTTTGTAGCCTAAACGGCTGAACGGATTTCGATAAAATTCGGTATAGATGTAGAGGAGAAAATATAAAGCCGCGGTTGCAAACATTCCTATTACAATTAGAATTTCTAATAGTTGTAATAGGTTAAGTAATTTTACCTTCGCGAGCCCTGGCAGCCAGGTCGCTTATGGCAAGCTCTATCCGCGGGTAGTCCATCGATTCAACATTTCGGAGAACCGGTACTAAGAGACCCTTTGGCGTGGCTACTGCCACTGAAATATCTATGTAGTCCCTAAAATGTAACAAAACTGTGAATGTCCTCTTCAGAAACAGTGCAAACACAATATATCTGTCCCTTTCTTTACACGTGTGTTTTTGAATGTTTTAATTACCAACCTATACACAATGTTGTTGTCGATGATGACAGAGTTGACAACAGGCTGGTCCTCAAGGGCGTTGGCTGCAGCTTTCAAAAATGGCGACATAAAGGAAAGCTTCACTCCGTATTTCTTTTTAAAAGTCTCAACGTTAGCCTTCCGGAACGCCATCAGTCGACTGTTAAAGTAATTCGAATTTGTTATAATTTTTATTATATACGAGTATTAGCAATTTATACATAAATCATCAAATAAATCACTATTGAACTTAGGTCTTTCCCAAAGTTTTTACCGTGTGTGTATACTGTCGAAATATGTACTTTTTAAATGTACAGAATTATATTCTCATCCTTTTCATCCATTTAAAGTAAACAGAGATAACATATGCAGGTGAAACAAATAATGGCGACACATACGGAGGGTATCTTATAACGAACCTCATATCGCACTCATTGAATGTAGTAAGCATAGCGGTAGTGTTCTGCGCCTCCTTCAGCCGTTCGGAAATGCGCAGACGCATCCTATTCATCGGCACCGGGTACTCTGACCGGCTACCGGTTATTACTTTCGTAGGGTCGCCAATTTTTTGCGCCGCAAACTGAAATATATAAAACAGTTTAGGTTTAGCAGCGTTTAAACTTGTACTAATTAAATACTAAAATGATGTGGTGAGTAATAATATTATTGGATTCGGCAACTTGAATTTGTCGTAATTCGTAATAACCAAGTAACCGCTGACCATAGGCATGCACAATTGAAGCGCTTATAAAGAGGTTATTTTCTCTTCGTATGCGTTGTCTCTACAGTCAGGTCCACGTGCCTTTTCCATCCTTTAATATAACTCAAGGGTGGGAAGGGAAGATGGAATAAAATTAGGCCTCCGTCACGCACACCATCAGTTGAAACGTGGAATTGATTTGTCATCACGATTTCTTTCTGTGTGGTCGTGGTAT